AAGGCTCCTGGTTGGGAGTAACAGACCTTTGAAAATGAGTCCTCAGCTTGGTGGCCATAAGCTGCCAAAGGACAAAGTGAATTAAAAAAATCGCCAAAGGTCGCAATCAAAGGCCACTCAAGGCTCAATTGGACCATCGATTAAACACTGTTTGCGAGGTACAAAAATACCGAAATGACCTTAGCCAAGGCTCCCAGTTGGCGGCGGCACGGTGAAGAAAATGAGCCTTCAAGTTGGTGACTATCACCTGCCAGAGGACGAAGTTAATTAAAAAAATCGCCAAAGGTCGCAATCAAAGGCCACACCAGGCTCCAATGGAGGATTTATTAACGACACTTGGCGACAGCGAACTCAATCAAAATGGCCTTAGCTAAGGCTCCGACTTGGAGGAAATCGGCCATTGAAGACGATCCTTGGTGTTTGGTAGTTGTTGGCTGCCAGGGGAAGAAGCGAGCTAAACAATTAGCCAAAGGCTTGCAACAAAGGCCACCCACGGGCCGATTGTATCGTCTAATAGGCAAACTTTTCCGCACTAAATCCTCGCAAAACCAACTGCCCACCCGTCCTCAATTAGCCTCAAATAATCATCAAAGTGCTTGCACGATCGCAATCTCCACTCATAATTCACCCTCGTATGACACACAATTTACCATCGGCCGATTCCAGCCAATAGTTTGCCGCCAATTATCCCAATTAACTCCTGCCTGGACAATCGGCATGATGCGAAAGAGTTAATTTGAAGTTCGATCTGGACCAGAAAATCGGGTTTTCGCCTGGAAAACTCTCCAGGAAACTTTGTCGGGAATAGTGAACTTCCAAAGCAAACTGGAGCGAGTTGACGACGTTCTAAGCGGGAATCGATACTCATTGTCTTATCGGCTCTTTCCATCGGCAGTCCGGCCGTGACTTTCACCTCAGGAGGGCCCCAATCGCGTCCACAAATCTGCAAATTTGCATGGAAAGTCCAGGAGCAGTTTGCTTGGGCCTCTGCAGGCCTACAGACAGCTAATGGATTATTGTCCTCAAAAGCCCTCAAATCAGCGTCGGGATGGCCGCTCCAAGCCTCCAGCTAAGGGAAAAAGCTGCAGTTGCCCCTACTAGGGTCCAGGACCGGACTCAAGTGGGCCAGCCTCACTCAATAAATATCGGCAGCAAATGGCCTGCTTTAAAAGTCCATCTTGTTAATGACATTGCGCCTTTCTTGCTCCTCCACTCGATCTCTAATGGCTGTTGAATTAAAGAACATTTTGCCCGCACGGTTTGGGCGGCCTTCGCATGGATAAATATGCTTGCGGGTTTCGCTCTGGGGGAGAAAGGATGACAGCCTGCCCGCCCAGTTGGCCTCGCTTAAAAGCGACCGCTTTGATAATTTCTGAAAAATCGGCCTTTTACAGGATCGGCTGCAGATTTGCAGGAGTTGAGGCCTGAAGTGTCGGCTATAGACGTGCCAAAAGACAAGGTTGTCGCACCTCCGGATTTGGAGTCAGGAATTTTCCAAACCGTGTTGCCTTGTGTGTCAGCAGAGAAGGTCTGTGGTTTTTGTAAAAATCCTCCTCAACAGGGTTTTTGTCTCGTTTGTCCCACTGGTAGAGCGAAGTGTCTGTCATCAACTGGCCAAAGGCCAGTTTTTCACCAGTTCAGGATTTGCTCGTTAGCTTTATTGGAGGGCAGGAAGTGGCAACGCCGCCGCTGGCCCGGGGAAACCCACACAACATAGAGAGTGTTCAGTTCGCGGCTCGCTCAACTGGGCCTGATGACGGTCGGGCGGCGAAACTTTCACACAGTTTGGCCCAAGTTGGGTGCTTTCCTGTGCCCGGCCTGGCAAGGTTGCCACGTATTCCGGTTGGCAGTCAAACGCAAATTAGTAGAAGCTCTGTTAACCATCAAGCTCCAGTTCGAGCTCCCGTGAAACTGAGCCTGGTGGTGTTGGGGAAACCAAATATTCAGGATCTATAAGTCCCAGGCGTCGTCGGGGCAGCGCATGAGCTGGCAACATTGCCACTTTCCCAGTTTGTCGGTTCAGAATTTTTTAAGTTGCGATCGCAAGTTAGTGAGAAAGTTTTTTAAACATGCATCTCAGGTTGGGAGGTGAATCAAACTTAAGCTGAAGACGCTACTGCAACCAAACTTCCAGCCCAAAAAGGCCAGGGCGTGCACTTTCCACAAGAAAATTGGCAACGTTGCATCTGTCTTCGTTTGCCAGCCATGAATTTTTCGGCGCGTGGACGCAAATTAGTGGGAAACTTTTCTAACCCAATAGCTCTAGTCAGAAGCCTAATGATGAAACACGCAACTCCGGTGTTTGCAGTAAAAAACTTGGCAACCTTGGCTACTTCTTCATGTGGCGGCCACGATTTCTCGAAAGCGCAAACGCAAGTTGGCGAGAAACGTTATTAGTCATGAAGCTCAGGTTTGGGGTCCCATTAAGCTAGACCTGATGACGGCCCAATGACGAAACTTTCAGCGTGCGTAGACGAAAGCGCAGTTGTTCCACTGCCTACATTGGCAACGTTGGATTTTGTTGATTTGCAGGCTATGCATTTTTCAATGCGTGCACGCAAGACCATGAAGCTCAAGTTTGATGACGATTTAAAGACGAAACTTTCAGCGCAAAGGGCCGAAAGCACCTGCTGTCTAGTGCATGACGTGGCAACGTCGGACATTGTTTCATTTGACAGTTATGCATTTTTGATCTCGTGCTCGCAAGTCAGTGAAAAACTTTTTTTTCAATAAAGCGCAGGTTTGTTGTCGCATTAAACTAAACCTGATGACGGCCCACCCACGAAACTTTCAAGACTCATAGACGAAAGTGTGGAGTTTCGCGCGCAATATTTGGCAACGTCGGATCGTTCTTGGATGTGCAAACGCCAGTTAGTGAGAAACGTTTTTGATCATAAAGTTTTCAGGTTTGGGATTGTGTAAAGCTAAAGCTCATGATGCTGGACACACGAAACTTTAAACGATGATAGATGAAAGTGTGGTTTATCCAGCACACAACTTGGCAACGTCGGATCTTTTTTGGTTTGGCAGAGATTAATTTTTGAGTGGTTGAACGCAAATTAGCGAAAAACTTTTTTGACCCTGAGGTTTGGAGTCGCTTTAAACTAAACCTGATGGCGGTCCGCTCACTAAACGTTTCGAGCCCATAGACAAAGGCGTGACCTTTCGGGCACGTGATCTGGCAACGTTGGATCTTGCTTGATTTGACAGGTATGAATTTTCGAATGCGTGAACGCAAGTTAGTGAAAAAGGTTTTCAATCATGCAGCTGAGGTTTGGAGTCGGCTTAAGTAAAACCTGATGTTGCTCCACCCATAAAATTTTTTGCGCCCATAGACGAGGGCGTGGTCTTTCCACCACATGATCTGGCAACGTCGGATCTTTCCCCATTGGGCAGATACGATTTTTTTAGTGCGTGAACTAGTGAGAAACTTGTTTATCCATGGAGCTCAGGTTTTGTGGTCATTTTAACCTAAACCTGATGATGCATCAAACACAAAACTTTAAGAGTGTGACTTGGCAACGTCGCAACTTTCTTCGTTAGACAGTTTTGAATTTTTGATCTCGTGAACGAAAGTTAACGGGAAACTGTTTGATCCATGGAGCTCAGCTTGGAGATCACATTAAAATCAACCTGATCATAAATGAAACGCGAAACTTTCACACCACACAGCCGAAAGTATTTTCTTTCCAAAGCATGAGCTGGCAACAGCGGATAAGTCTTGGTTTGAAAGCTATTTTTGGACCAATATAGTGTTAATTTTGCTTGACGGTGAAGCTCGCCTTTGAGGGCCTGAGGAAAAAAGCCTGATGATGCTCCAATAACGAAACGAGTGTCCGAAGGACGTCCACATCACCAGGTGTGCTCCCTAGAGTGCAACACCTGGCAACGTTGCCCTCTTCATTATTTGGCAGTTATGAATTTTTGAAGCGTCATTGCGCCAGTCAGTGGGAAACTCTCTTAGCCAAGGGGCTGAAGTTTGAGAAGCCTGATGAGGCCCCACCGACGAAACCTTCCCAGTGCATGTGCGCTTTCTCGTGTATGGCGACGCAACGTTGCCGCACCTGCGGTTTGACAGCTGGGAATTTTTGAAGTCGTGGAGCGCAAATGAGCGAAAAGCTCCCTGGATCGTGAAGCTCAAGTTGGAGGCCCCTTGAAAGCAAACTTGACGAAGTCACGACAATGAAATTGTGCCCGTTTATAGCAAAAAATGCGGTCTTTCGAGTCGAGGAAATGGCAACGTTGCCGCCCTTTTTGTTTGGCAGTTGTGAATTTTTGCAGCCATAAGGCGCAAATTTGAGAGATGCTTCCTCAAACCTGGAGCTGACGTTTGAGGTCGCGTGGACGCTAGTCTGATGATGCCCCAGCAACGAAACTTTCCTCAGAGATAGACCGAAGCACGTTTACCCCCTACGCGACTTGGCAACGTTGCACTTAATTTGCTGGAGGCGCGATTAATTTTTGAATACCTGGGAAAAGTTTGGGACTTGCGTGAATCGTCCCTGACGTTGCCACATGGCAACGCTGTAGCTGCCTAACTAGCTGTCGGATTGAACGAAAACTTACCACATAGATGGCGCCCAGCGGCATCACCAAGCAGGCAACCATGAGATCAGCCATCGCGAGCGAAACGATCAGATAGTTGGCGACGTTTTGCAGGTTGCGTTCCATAAAAATGGCCGCAATGACAAAGACGTTTCCTGCAACAAATAAGCGAACAAATTCGCTCCTTTTACTCAAACCGTCACTCACCGATGATGGTGCTGAGGATCATCAATCCCAGAACGACCGAAAGCGCCACCATGAAGATGAAATCGGCCAGCGGCTCCCCATCCTCCATTAAAGTGAGGTTAGTTGAGGAGTTGCCGGAGGATCCATTGAAGAAGCAAATGGAGCAGTTCAGGTGGTAACTCGCATTTGCTGCTGCATCGAGAGCCGCCGCCGGCGAGTATTCGTAGAGAACTGGAAGATTATTCAATAAGCGCGACGTTTCGGCAGCCAGTTTCATCATCAGGACCCACCTTGGGAGGAGACAGTCAGCATGGAGTGGGTGAAGATGAAAAGCCAGGTGAATCCTTTGGAAGCGTCCGGCATTTTGCGTGCCCTTCTATCCACGTCCATCTGAAATCAAAATTGAGGTTAAGCGAATTAAGTGTTCGAACACGATTTAAGTGTCCCCCCCCCCCAAAAGCGCCACAGAATCAACAAAATTTACCGGTTTTCCATTTCCGGTCACCGATTTTTGAATTGAGGCAATCGCAATTTAGTGTTTGGTTTAAGTGTTCAGAAATTTTTTTGCGATTTAGTGTTCGCTTCTTTGCACACTGCAAGCATTTCAAGGTTAATTTAGTGTTTCCGCCTCGGTGCCCGAGAGTTTCGTTTTCCTACCCTGTTCTCAAAATGCCCACTTAGGCTGTTATTGATTTTAATAAATTAAGTGTTCGACTTAAGTGTACACGCAAAGTTATGCAAAAAATGATTTAATGAAAATATTGTTTTTCAAATTAGCCTTTGCATTAGCACGGAAAGTGCCCCTTAAACGGTTAAAAGTGTGAGTGAACCCAATAAAGCAGTCCAGCAAACACTAAATTTTCGCTAAGGTCACGATTAAACACTGAAAGAAACAAACGAAATTTCCAATTTTGCATCCCAATCTGCAAACTCTAGCGTCGAGTAATCTGTTTCGGAAAAAAGCTTAAATTCCCATCTTAATTTTGAGTTACTCAAACACTTAAACACTAAATCGGAACGGAAATTTAGTGTTTTTAAACACATCGGGGCCAAGCTGCATTGCTTTGGCGACTTTGAGGGGTTTTTCAAGTTTTGCAACACTTTCATGGGCAAAACACTAAATTGATAAAAGTGTTCGCTCTAAGCGAAAAACGTTGTCCTTGAATTCATCGGTCTGGCTAATGTCAGCAGTTGAAAGACATTTAAACGAATAAAATGAGTCGTAAACACCAAGTTTTAGTTAAAGTGTTGATGAAACACTAAATTCAATAAGCTGCCTCCTCAAAACCCTTTAAAAATTTCAGAACAAATCATTTGCTGTTCATCTGAAAACATTTAACCTGCACATTCTAGGAACCCTTGGTGTCAAATTTTCCTTCAAACACTAACAAAACACTAAATCACTAAACAAAACTGATTTACTGACTTTTAAATTATTATTTGAAAAACTTAAACTCCAAACTTTATTTCGATCATTAAATAAATGAAAGCAATTCATAGCTAAAACGAGCAAATTAAGTGTTCAGTTTAAGTGTTCAATGCAATTTTCCAGATTTTCCAGAAAATTTAGTGTTTTTGATAATATTTTGCCCACTCAACAAACCATTACAAAGCCTCGTTTAAAACCGCACGCGATTTTACATTATAGTGTCTGATTTAGTGTTCGCTTCCTGTGAAAATTGAAAATTTGGTAGTAATTTATTGCTTGTCGACCCCAAAGCTTTTGCATTTGGCTGTTTTTCGACGCATTTGTTCTGTTTTCATCAAATTAAGTGTTCGATTTAAGTGTATACACTTTTAATCCCATGTTGAAATGGACTTGAAAGATTCACTTGCACTGGTTTTTGAGGCACTTTTTCAAATTTTGCAACATATTCATTGGCAAAACACTCGATTGATAAAAGTGTTCGCTCGAAACCAAATATTTTGTTCTTGAATTCATCAAGAAAAACAGTTGCTGTTTATCCGAGAACACTAAATTTGCGTTTGCAAACGAGTTTTTAAAAATAAGTTCCATTATCGCCAGGAATTATACGAAAAACCCAAACACTTACTTCAACTAAACAGCTGAACACTAATTCGAGTAGGAAATTAAGTGAGCCAAAAACTTTTGGGCGCGTTGAAAAGCGCGTTTAAAAATGAACAACTTTTAAAAAATCAAGCGTTAAAGACAGTCAAACCAATAAAGTAGGGCCGTAAACACTAAATTCCTGTTAAAGTGTTGATGAAACACTAAACTCAATAAACTTCCTCCTCAATACAGCCATTGCCATTACAAAATTGTTTGCGTTTCATCTGGAAACATTTAAGAAGCGTCAGCATTTTTTTTAAAGCACTAATAAAACACTAAATCACTAAGCAAAAACCGAGGTTTCGATCCCAAACAGTAAATTTTCATTTGAGTTTTAACTCAAGTAAATATCAGAACACTAAAGCAAATAGCAAATTTGATGTTTCCAAACACTTTGCTGGAAAAACACTATATTGAATAAAGTGTTGGATCTGAGTCCAATGCTGTATAAAAGGCTGGTTAAATTTGTGCATGGTTTTGTCAAATCCATTGCCTTTTATGGAAAATTATGGATAAAATCATCCGATGAAAGACACTTAAATCAATAAATTTGTTTCAAAGTGTTGATGAAACACTAAACTTAACCGGGAAAACAAGCAATTTTCTAAAAAATCATCTACGTTTGATCTGAAACCATTTAAAATTGTGGAATTCCTGATGTGAACTTTTTCCTAAAACACTAATGAAACACTAAATTACTAAGCAAAACTGGTTTAGTTTTGTTTAAATCATTATTTAAAACCTCATACGTTCTTTTGAGGAAAATTCCAATTAAATGCCGCAACACTAAATCGAATTCTACCGTTTTCAAACACATTGAAAAAACATTAAATTGATAAAAGTGTTCGATGTGAGCCAAAGACTGAATAAATAGCAGATTTTATGAACTTTCTGATTTCTTGAAAGACTTTGCAGCAAATTCAAGCGCAAAAATGTGCAAATCTGGACAAAATCAACCGACAAAAACACTTAAACCAATGAATTTCTGTCAAAGTGTTGATGCAACACTCAACTCAGCAAGAAAAATCGACAGTTTTGAGGCGAATCGTTCACTGTTTCTCCGCGAAAGCTCAACTGGCACATTTTGCGACACTTTTCAGTGTCAATCACTAATTAAACACTTAAACCAGATTTTGTGCTTCGCAAAAACTAAATTGATAGAAGTGTTCGATGCGAGCCAACAGCTGATTTTAAAATGTGCCTGGTTCCTTAAGGTTCTTTGCCTTTATGGGAAAAATTTGGCTAAAACCAATCGCAAAGACACTTAAACCATTAAAGCGGCGCAGCCAACACTAAAGTCTGGTCAAAGTGTTGGAGAGAAACACTAAATTCTATAACGAAAATTGCGCAGTTTTATGCGGCTAATTTTTTACTGTCTGATCAGGACACTAGTGTCCATTTTTTTGGCGAACACTAATGAAACACTAAATCAGCAAACACTAGTGTTCGAAGAAGCGCCGTAACACTAAATCGAGTTGGAAATGTAGTGTACACACTAAACTGATAAAAGTGTTCAGTGAGCTGAAAAAATCCAGTTGGCAAAATCCTCTCGCCCCCGCTGCTGCCGGGCTTTTCGTGGATAAATCGGGCTGAAATCAGGATAAATCTGGAAAACCCCACTTGGCCGGTAAATTTGAACAGAAAAATCGACGGTTTGCATGAGGAGAAACGTCCTTAAGGCGCAGATAATGGGGGAATTTTCAGCCGCCAGTCACCTTAAATCGCTCGACTTGTTTGCTGATTCGGCACTGATTCCCGGCCTGATAGAAGACGCGGCTTTAATAACGCTGGAAAAATGCATTTTCCCCATTCCGCCATCCAGAAACGTCTGCCAGAGAATTTCGGCTCATCTTCATTCCAGAGCGGGCACTGGGACCGAAAACTTAGCATAAAACCGGGAAAAACCTGGAGAAGTTCAGTGCGAACGGGGATTTTCCGATATAAATCATCTCGACTACACGGTGGATTTGTATTCTTCCTGTATCACGTTTCGGCTTTTTTCAAACTCCATTCCCTGGATCGGCCAGGGATTTAGACTTTAGTCGAGAATTTGGATTTATGTTATGCAGAACAGCTGCGACTTTATGGGAAATTGTTTGCTTTCGCGGCTCTCGAAACGTTCCACCAACAACATCGACGCTTTCCAGATTAATAATCATTCGCCACTGTTGCCAGACTGCCAACTTCACACTAAAAATGCCCTAAACATGGTCAACCGCTGGCCGAAACAATCATGGAAATGTTTCCCCCTGTATGGGTTTTGCGCAGCTTCTCCACTGTTACCGAGCAGTCATAAAATGTACGTCTCCAGGACGTTAATAGCGTTGTAAAACCCGGAAATATTCGCGGAATGTTGGGCCATTTGCGGCAATACGCGCGAGTGCCTCACTGGCAATCAAACACAGCAAACATCTCAAGAACGTCAGAATCGGACGTTAAAGTTACGTCCAATTAACCAACTTTGCGGCTAATCGGGGCTGAGCTTCTGGCAATCTTGTGCCAAAATTTCAGCCCTCTAGCTCATCAGGCTTGGCAGATAGTGAGCCTGGAACAGGTGACCGACAGAAAATCACCCTCCAGCCTAATTAGTGCGTGTAAAAAATCCAACTCTGGATGGACTGGAGCGAAACTTTCTGGTCGTATCCAGCACAATCCCAGCAAGGTTGGGCCGAAAAATCACGTTGGCAGCTGCAGTAGTTTCGCAGGTATGGAGTCTGGAACAGGTGACCGCCAGCGCTCAAAACCCCAAAGTTGCCCAAAGTTCCTTTCTGAGGCTTCGAGTGGTCCCATTTCAAGCCTGGGGGAGAGCGTCAATACAAATTTGGTCTGGAAGAGGTGACCGCTGGTTGGACCCTTCACAAACAACCGACCGCCAACGAAAAACTTTGAAGGTCTATCAAAAATTTAATTCTGGATGAATTTAAATGCGTTTTTCTGCATTCATTTGCTGAAGCCTCATGGCACATTCAGCAAGAAAATGGGCGTTTTCCACCAGGCATTTGTGCCTGAAATCGAGCCTGGAACAAGCGACCGCTGCCGAACTTCTCTTAATATCATTTCGAGACTTTTATGCGCGATATAAACCGCAATTTCGGAGAACTTTCGCTGAAATTTTCTGGATCGCTTTGCTGATCCTTCATGAAAAGTTTGCCCAAAAATCCGCGTTTTTCACCCAGGGATTCTGAGGGAAATCCAGCCTGGAACAAGTGACCGCCCACATGCAAACTCCAAAAATATCCGATAGACTTTCTGGACCTTTCACATCAGATCGCCTGCATATTTTTGCACGAAAGTTATTGCTCTGGACCGCGTGTTTAAA